TTTTGTTTGTTTATAGTAAAAGATTTTGAATAAAAATTACAAATGCTGTAAAAACGTTTAAAGTTCAGAACCTGTAGTGAACAAAATACCTTCAATATAAAAAGTCTTGGAGTAAAAAAACAACAAAAATCCCTGAATTTTACTGTAAATAATTCTTCGATGTACAACAGTTTAATAAATTAGATGTTAAATATTAAAGTAATAGTTAAAGACTGTTAATATTACTATTACTGTTATACTTTTATATACTATATATTATTATTGCTGTTATTACAGTTTTATAACGTTAATTCATTAAATTGGAACCTTTCTCATTCATTTTAAAAACAATGATCTTTTACTAAACTATAACTTTAATACAAACGATTCAGACGAGGATGACCTCGGCCGTGCAAGGCCTCGGAAGACAAACGGCGCCGTCATCGCCGTGACAACGAGCTGTCGGACTCTCATCACCCAGCCGGCGACCGTATCATGTGTCTCGTGACACCAGATAGCTGCTTTCATCCGAGATGAACTCGGAGGGAAGCTGCTCTTTTCCCGGCACCGACGGCTGGTGCCGCTCGAAGACGACAGCGTTTGGTTCCTGAAACAATCGAAAAATGAGCGGAAGGAAGAAAACTATGAAAACAAGCAGAACTGAAAACAGAAACCAAAGAGTAAATCAAAAATGACGTCAACAGAAGAGATGGAGACAAATCCAAAAGTTAAAATAATGAAAGTGAGTTTAAAATCATTTAAATAACAACTTTCAGAAATAAGGTTTATGTTTCAGAATAAAAAGGATAAAATATTTTTAACAAAGAAAGCAAAGAACAAAGGGTGAAAGGAGAGGAGGGAAAGAAAAGGAAGACGAGTGAAGACTGCACCTGTTGACATGACGATGACATGCTGCTCTCCTATTGGCCGAGGATCCACAGGTGTCTCCTGAGTCGACCCCTAATGACCCTCCACCTGCCAGTCATCTCCTTGGAGAAAGAAGTCTTTGTCTTCCAAACAAAGTCTGTTTTTGTGGAACTCGAGTGTTTGCTGACGGAAACGGAGGCGTCGTCTGCATAAAACGACACCGTCAGACTTCTTTACACTTGATTTCTGTTTTCTCCTCCCTTCTTTCCAAACCTTTTTACTTTCCTCCTCTGTCTACCCTTCTGTAACTTTTTGTCCCTTCAGGGATCCGTCATCCTTTTTTCTTTCAGCGAATGTATTTATTGTTTTGGTCTTCTTCTCTGCAGGT